TGATTAGTAATCTTGCGCAAGGGTTTGGGCTGGTGGTTTGGGAGGTGAACAGAAAGTCGAGAAAGTGGGGTTCGCTTTTTTCGTCAAGCCCTCGCAAAACTTGCTGAGTCAGCAAACTCTGGGCCAAATATTCTGTTTGGGTCCGATAGTCCCAAATTGAGAAATACTGAAACATGAAGTTTGCGCGGTGAGTTTGGTCTCGACCAATCAGATTCATTCGTACCTAGTGTAACCAAAAATTCGCCAACTCACAGCACCCAAACAGCCGCTCAGCAAGATTAGTAATCTTGCCCAGCGCGGCCCGCAATAATTCGAAATTCGCGGAACTGGTGCTTACCAGAAATCGGCGTCGAATTGGTCGCCCCCGGCGGTTTTTCGAGGCGATTTTTTCCTCGACCGCCGCTTCGCCGAGAGTTGTCGAGTGAGAACGGCTCTGATTACCAAGTGTCACAGGATCGAATTCTCATTCGAAAACGTGTCACAAACATTGAATGCAATGCATTTTTATACTCGGAAATTACAAGGATAATGAGATAAGACGAACATTCGGGAACACACCCTTTCCCGATGCCACAATCACAAGTGCGCACAAGCACACAAGGCTATTGGCACTTGGGATTACGCCCAGATTACACCGTATACACCACTGTCGGCGCTGGCGGTGCCGTATAGTAAATGTGTCGGTGGGAAAAATAGGAAATAAGTGAAATAAAGAGAAGGCTCTAGAAAATAGAATAGTAGGCCGATTGAGATGAAATAAAGACCAGAATAAAGAGGAGAAATTTAGAATAAGATAAAGAGAAAATATAATAATGAGAAATATAATAACGGGAACGTCCTCTCACACTCCCTGCCTCGCCTGCGCCTCCCTGCCTTCCTTGCGTCGAGGGGCGGCAGCGCGCCGCTCCTCACTCCTCGTTCCCCCCTACAGAGGCTCCTCTGCAAACCCTCCACCTGGACGTGTGGGGCCCAGCCCGCGTCCGTGGACAGGGCGGTGAGCGGTACTTTCTGCTGGTTGTTGACGACTACTCGCGTTACACCACAGTCTTCCCCTTGCGTACCAAAAGTGAGGTTCCTACTGTCTTGATCCCCTGGATCCAAGCAGTTCGTCTCCAGCTCCGCCGCCATTCGGTTTCGCACTGACCTTCCTGTCCTGCGTCTGCACTTCGACAGAGGTGGTGAGTTTTCCTCCGACCTCTTGCGGGCCTTCTGTCAGGCAGAGGGCATCGAGCAGACCTTCACGCTTCCGGGCTCACCACAGCAAAATGGGGTTGCTGAGCGCCGCATTGGCTTGGTCATGGAGGTCGCTCGTACCTCCTTGATCCATGCGGCTGCCCCCCATTTCCTGTGGCCGTTTGCGGTCCGGTATGCCGCGCATCAGCTCAACCTCTGGCTCCGTGTCTCCTTGCCGGAGACCTCGCCCGCACTGCGTTGGACGGGAGAGGTTGGTGATGCGTCGCGTTTCCGGGTCTGGAGTGCTCATGCCCTTGTCCGCGATACGTCCGCGGACAAGCTCTCCTCCCGCACCCTCCCCAGTGTCTTCCTTGGCTTTGTCCCGGACGCGCCTGGCTGGCAGTTTTACCACCCCACCTCGCGCTGTGTCTTCGCGTCCCAGGACGTCACCTTTGACGAGTCGGTACCCTTTTACCGTCTCTTCCCCTACCGCACGGTCCCTCTCCCTCCCCCGCCGCTTTCCCTTCCTCCCGGCTCACCGCTCTCTGCTCCTGCTCCTTACTCTGAGCAGCCAGCTTCCTCGCCTGCAGAGCGTCGTGAGCCTGCGTCTCGTCCTGCCTCTCCTGACTGCACTACTCGCACTGTTCGTCGCGTCTCGCGTCCGCGTCCTCCTCCTGTGCCAGGCACTCACACCATGGCACTTCGTCCTTCCTCTGCTCCGCAGCGTGTCCCCCTGCCGTCTCCTCCTGCGTCCTCTCTTCCTGACGTCCCTGACCCTGCGTCTGACGCTGTTCGTGCTGCTCACCCTACTGTCACGCGTCTCCTTGCTACTGTTGTCACTGACCCCTCCTTGGAGTCCGCTGCTGCGTCTGCTCTAGTCGCTGAGCTTGTGGACTTTGCTGCTGCCTGTCGTCTAGACTACGCTGCCAGTCTTGTCGCTGAGTCTGAGTCTGTCTGTCCTCCGTCCGTCGGGGGTGAGTGTGCTCTTGGCACGGACGTCCTTGAGGATAGACAAGAGGACTTTGCCTCTCTTGCGACTGCTGTACCTCATCTCACGGCCTGGCTGCTTGCACCTGAGGGAGACCCGGATGCACTTGACATCCCGACCCCGCGCTCTTACGCTGAGGCAATCGCGGGTCCCTACTCCTCTCAGTGGCAGACAGCCATGGACGCAGAGATGGCATCCTGGAAGTCCACAGGCACTTACGTTGACGCAGTTCCCCCTCCTGGGGCGAACATCGTCGACGGCATGTGGATTTTCACGGTGAAGCGGCCGCCGGGTTCTCCGCCTGTCTTCAAGGCTCGGTACGTTGCTCGAGGCTTCAGTCAGCGTCAGGGAGTTGACTTCTTCCAGACCTTCTCCCCTACCCCGAAGATGACCACTCTTCGGGTGTTGCTGCACGTTGCTGCTCAGCGTGACTACGAGCTTCACTCTCTTGACTTCAGCACAACGTTCTTGCAGGGCAGCCTGCACGAGGAGATCTGGCTGCGCCGCCCTCCTGGCTTCACTGGGTCGTTCCCTCCTGGTACCCAGTGGAGCCTCCGACGGCCAGTCTACGGTCTCCGCCAGGCGCCTCGTGAGTGGCACGACACAGTGAGGACGACACTTGCGGCACTTGGGTTTGCTCCTTCCACTGCTGACCCGTCGCTGTTTCTACGCACCGACACTTCTCTGCCGCCGTTCTACATCCTCGTGTACGTCGACGACCTGGTCTTTGCTACTGCTGACACTGAGGCACTCGCTCTTGTGAAGTCGGAGCTGCAGAAGAGAGACACGTGCACAGACCTGGGTGAGCTGCGCAGTTACCTTGGCTTGCAGATCACCCGGGACAGAGCACGCCGCACCATCACCCTGACTCAGTCACACATGGTGCAGCAGGTCCTTCAGCGGTTTGGCTTCCAATTCTCCTCACCACAGTCCACTCCTCTGCCTACTGGTCACTCGCTCTCAGCTCCACCTTCGGACGAGTCCGTAGAGCCGAGTGGTCCGTATCCAGAGCTTGTGGGCTGCCTCATGTACCTGATGACCTGCACTCGACCTGACCTCGCATACCCTCTTAGCATCCTTGCTCGTTACGTTGTGCCTGGGAGACACCGGCGTGAGCACTTGGAGGCTGATAAGTGGGTGTTGCGCTACTTGTGCAGTACATCAGGCATGGGGCTTGTGCTTGGAGGATGGGGCGACGTGGTCCTCACTGGACACTCTGACAAGGCAGCGGTCGTCACAGGGGTACTCGTTCAGTCTTGGCTCTGGCTCTGTTTCGTGGCGGTCTACTCGCTCGTCCTCTGTTCTCAGCTCCAGTTGTGAGGCTGAGATCTACGCCACAGTCATGGCTGCTCAGGAGTTACGTTGGCTCACCTACCTGCTGACTGACTTGGGAGAGAGGCCTCTGTCAAACATTATGCATGTTGTAGCTTTGTAGGCTACAGTGGGTTTAGCCTTAGAGGGTACAGAACTCTAGGGTTTCATATTTGTACTCTCATTCCTGTTAGTCATCCCCATTCTCGTTCTAAGTTTCACATGGTATAGAGCAGGTTCCCTCGTGGGAACTGTTCCTAGGGCCCACCGTAACCTTTTTTTTTTCCTGCCCGGAGCGCGCTCCGCCCCTGCCCGAGTCGCGCCCCCCCCCTCCCCTTCGCTTCTCTTAGCGGCCCCGTCGCGCCACCCTTTAGGCCCCGGCGCCGCCTCTGCTGGCCCCGCGGCCCTACCCTCGCAACCCCGCGGCCCCACCCTCGCGTCGCCCTGCGCGGCGTCGTTACAGCCGCCCGCGACCCCGACGCCGCCCGTCGCGGCCCCGTCGCCCTTCGCGCCGCCCGCGACCTCGTCGCCGCGGCAGCCCGCGACCCTACCGCTGCGGCCGCCCGTGACCCTCGCGTCGCAGCCGCCTGCGACCCTGTCGCCACAGCCGCCCGCGACCCTACCGTCGCTGCCGCCCGCGACCCTGCTGTCGCAGCCGCCCGCGACGTCGTCGCCGCAGCCGCCTGCGCTCCCGACGTCGCAGCCGCCCGCGACCCCGTCGCCCCACCCGTGCGACCCCACCGCCGCCCTTTGCGGCCCCGTCGCCACACCTTCGCGGCCCCGCCGAGCAGCCGAGCCGCCGAGACGCTGCCGCAGCCAAGCCGCCGTTGTTGCCGAGCTGCCGGGCCGCCGAGCCGCCACTGCCGCCGTGCTGCCGAGCCGCCGAGACGCCGCCGCCGCTGAGCTGCCGAGCCGCTGAGCCGCCAAGCCGTCGTTCCTGCTGTCGCGGCCCTGTTCCTGCCGACGCGCCTCGGTCCTTCTCGCCTGCCCGGTAAGAGCAGCGCCTCCACCACTGCTCTGCCCCTGCCTGCTGCTCTCACTGCTAGTCTACTGCTGTCATGGCTTCCCCCAGTGTCCTCACCTTTGACGCTGAGGGCCGGGCCATTGACTTTGACGTCTGGGTAGATGACCTGCAGCTTTTCCTACTGAGCGACAGAGCAGACGGCCTCTCCCTCTTTGACCTCACTTCTGGTGCCTCTCCTCTCCTGCTGCTGATGCTGACCCCACTGTTCGCTCCCAGTGGGCCACGCGCGATGCTGCTGCCCGCCTTGCTGTGCGCCGCCACTTGCCGACCGCTGAGCGTGCGCACTTTAGCCAGTACAAGAGTGCTAAGACCTTGTACGACGCTGTAGTTGCACGCTACTCTTCCCCTGCCACTGCTGCGCTTAGCCGCCTCATCCTACCGTACCTCTTCCCTGACCTCGCCGCTTTTCCCTTTGTCGCTGACCTCATTACGCACCTTCGCACTAGTGACACTCGCTACCGCGCTGCGCTTCCTGCTGAGTTCTGCGCCAAGAACCCCCCCCCCATGTACATCACCCTCTACTACATAGTCACCCGGCTCCCTGACACCCTTCGCCCGGTCAGGGACCACTTCCTCTCTGTTTGCCCCACCACCCTCACCGTTGACCTCCTCGAGGAGCGCCTTCTAGCGGCAGAGAAGAGCATAGTCGCTGTAGGTGCCTCTCGTGGTGACCCTCGTACCCCTGTCTTTGAGGGGTGCTCCCCCTCTCCCCTCTTGCCCCTCTTGCCCTCTGTTGCCTCTGCTGCTGCGGCCGACCTCGTTGGTCTTGAGTCGGTCGCTGCGGCGTCTGCCCCTAGCGGGAGACGCCGCTCTGGCAAGGGCAAGGGGGGCAAGGGTGCTGGAGGAGCTGGAGGGGGCGGTGGAGGCGGAGGTGGAGGTGGTGGAGGGGGTGGGGGTGGCGGTGGGGGTGGTGGCGGGGGTGGGGGCGTCGGTGGCGGGACTGGAGGTGGAGGTGGAGGCGGCGCTGGCAGTGGGAGCGGAGGTGGCGGAGGTGGCGGTCCTGGAGGTGGTAGCGGCGGAGGCGGTGGAGCTGGTCGGGGTGGCGCTGCGCAGAGGGGTGGCTCCGGTGGTGGTGCGCGCCAGCAGCAGCAGCAGCAGCGTACCCGTGAGACCCCTTCCCCCCAGCAGCTTCGTGAGTGGTACGCTGCTCGTCAGCGGGGCGGGGGTGCTGGCCCCTGTACCTACGTTCTCCGTACCGGCGACCAGACGGGTTAGCAGTGTGGGGGCGCGCACCCCACCCAGCGCTGCTTCGGCCGTCTGACGGACGCGTGGCGCCACCAGTTCCCCGACGCTACTGAGATCCCTCGCTGGGGCGAGCTGTCTAGGGCGGGTGTTGCGATCTATGATCTTGATTTTGATGCTATTCTTGCTGCCATGTATGCTGTGACTATTAGTGATGAGGGTGACTGTTACCGGTGTTTTCCGCCTGACCCAGGCATAGAGGCTGCTGCGCTAGGTACTTGTGAGGCTGCTGCTCTAGGTGCCAGTGCGTCTGCCGCCCCAGGTGCCGGTGAGTTTGCGCTCTCAGGTGCTGAGTCGTCACCGCACACCCACACCTTCACCCTTGACTCGGGTGCTTCCCGCTCCTTCTTTCGAGACTGCACCACTCTCACACCGCTCAGTCGGCCTGTTGCAGTCTCCCTGGCGGACCCCTCTGGGGGTCCTGTCCTTGCTCACTACTCCACTGTCCTACCGTGTCCGGCGGTCCCGTCTGGCTCCCTGTCGGGTCTCTACCTCCCCTCGTTCTCTACGAACTTGGTCGCGGGTGCTGACCTCCAGGATGCAGGAGTTGACCAGTTCACCCCTGCGCGTCAGCGGGTGACCCACTGCACTTGTGCGGACACGGGCCGACACTTGGCCACGTTTGCTCGTCGGCCAGGGTCGAGCCTGTACACACTGACTACTGAGTCTCCTCCAGTCACTGAGTCTGCTCAGGTAGCAGCGTCGGGTCAGGTGTTTGCTGCGGCGTCCAGGTCTGGTCCTGAGTCTGCCCCCTGCTCGTGTCGTCTCCTGTCCCACCGGACTCTCCTCTGGCACCACCGCCTTGGTCACCCCTCCCTGCCTCGTCTTCGAGGCATGGCTTCCCGTCTCCTTGTATCTGGCCTCCCCCGGTCCCTCCCTCCTCTTCCTCCGGGGCCTGCCCCCACCTGCGTTCCCTGCGTTGAGGGGCGGCAGCGCGCTGCCCCTCACTCCTCCGAGTTTCCTCCGACAGAGGCTCCGCTGCAGACGCTTCACATGGACGTGTGGGGCCCAGCCCGCGTCCGTGGGCAGGGTCAGGAGCGCTACTTCCTGCTGGTGGTTGACGACTACTCACGCTACACTGCGGTCTTCCCCTTGCGCAGCAAGGGTGACGTCACTGAGGTGTTGATCGCCTGGATCCGCGCAGCTCGTCTCCAGCTCCAGGAGAGTTTCGGCTCCGACTTTCCTGTTCGGCGTCTGCACTCCGACAGAGGCGGAGAGTTCTCCTCTGACCTTCTGCGGGCCTTCTGTCGCGCACGAGGCATCCGCCAGACCTTCACGCTTCCGGACTCTCCGCAGCAGAATGGGATTGCTGAGCGCCGCATCGGCATGATCATGGACGTCGCTCGTACGTCCATGATCCATGCGGCTGCTCCCCATTTTCTGTGGCCGTTTGCGGTTCGGTACGCGGCGCATCAGCTCAACCTTCACCCCCGGGTCTCCATGCCGGAGACCTCCCCTGCTTTGCTGTGGACGGGGAAGGTTGGTGATGCGTCGCGTTTCCGGGTCTGGGGATCTAGGGCGTTTGTCCGCGACTTGTCTGCGGACAAGCTGTCCTCTCGTGCTGTTCCCTGCGTCTTCCTTGGCTTTCCCCCTGACGCGCCAGGCTGGCAGTTCTACCACCCCACCTCGCGCCGTGTCTTCGCGTCCCAGGACGTCACCTTTGACGAGTCGGTTCCCTACTACCGTCTCTTCCCCTACCGCACTGCGTCCCTCCCTCCCCCGCCGCTCTTCCTTACGCCAGGTCCCCCTCCGGTAGACCCCCTCCCCCCTCAGGGTCCTGCTCCCTCAGGTGTGTCCCAGGTAGATGCAGTTGAGCCAGTCGAGGTAGCTGTTGACTCTGGTGCTGCTGGTGGTGCTGAGCCTGGGGGTGCTGGGTCTGGGGGTGCAGTGACTGGGGGTGCTGAGCCTGGGGGTGCTGAGCTTGGGGGTGCTGAGCCTGGGGGTGCTGAGCCTGGGGGTGCTGCGCCTGGGGGTGCTGAGCCTGGGGGTGCTACGCCTGGGGGTGCTGAGCCTGGGGGTGCTGAGTCTCGGAGTGCGGAGCCTGAGGGTGCTGGACCTGCTCGTCTGGCGTCTGGTGGTGCTGAGCCTGACAGTTCTTCGGGTGCTTCGTCCCGGCGGGAGCTGCTCTCTCCACAGGAGCTGCGTGAGTGGTTCGCCCGGCGCTGGCGACGTGCTGCTGGAGCTGGTGGTGCTGCAGGCGCTGGAGGTTCTACTGCTGCTGAGAGTGCTGGTGCCGAGGGTCCCAGAGGTGCTCGTACCGAGCTGCTGGGCCTACGAGTGCTCCTCCTGCTGGAGCTGGTGGTGCTGCTGGTGCTGCTGGCGTTGGTGCTGCTGGTGCTCCTGGAGCTGGAGCTGCTGCGTCTTCGGGTGGTCCGACTGGAGCTGGAGCTACTGGGGGTGTTGGCGCTGGGGGTGCTCCTGGCGCTGGTGCTGCTGAGGGTGCTGGAGTTGGAGCTGCTGGAGCTGGGGGTCCTCCTGGTGCTGGTGCTCCCGTTGGGGGTGCTGGTGCTGTTCCTGCTGGCACTGGTGGCGCTGCGCGGCCACGGCCGTACTTCGTTCCGCTCCTTGAGCAGGTTCTTGGTCTTCCGTCCTCTCTTGGTCCTGCTCCCTCCTTAGCGTGTCCGCCTCCTGTCCAGTCTGAGTCACAGTTACAGCCACCTTCCCCGCTTCCTTCTCCTTCTCCCTACACTGGTCCTACTGGAGGTCTTGCTGAGCGTCGTGAGCCTGCGTCTCGCCCTGCGTCGCCTGTCCGTGCTGCTCGCACTAGTGGTCGTGGTTCGCGTCAGCGTCCTCCCCCTGTCCCCGGCACGCACCGGATGTCTCTGCGTCCTTCCACTGCTCCGCTGCGTGCCCCTTTGCCCTCTCCTCCAGCGTCCTCTCTTCCTGAGCTTCCTGACCCTGAGTCGGACTCCCTTCGTGCTGCGCGTCCTACTGTCACACGTCTCCTTGCTACTGTCGTCACTGACCCTTCCTTTGAGTCTACTGCTGCGTCTGCCCTCGTTGCTGAGCTTGTCGACTTCGCTGCTCGCTGTCGCCTAGACTACGCTGCCAGTCTCGTCGCTGAGTCTGAGTCTGTCTGTCCTCCGTCCGTCGGGGGTGAGTGTGCTCTTGGCACAGACGTCCTTGAGGACAGGCAGGAGGAGTTCCAGTGCTTGGCTGCTGCTTCACCTCATCTCGTGTCCATGCTGCTTGCCCCTGAGGGAGACCCGGATGCACTTGACATCCCGACTCCGCGCTCTTACGCGGAGGCGATAGAGGGTCCCTACTCCTCTCAGTGGCAGGCAGCCATGGACGCAGAGATGGCTTCCTGGAAGTCCACAGGCACCTACGTTGACGAGGTTCCCCCGCCTGGGGCGAACATCGTCAGTGGCATGTGGATTTTCAGGGTGAAGCGGCCGCCGGGTTCTCCGCCTGTCTTCAAGGCGCGTTACGTGGCTCGTGGCTTCAGTCAGCGGCAGGGAGTTGACTACTTTCAGACCTTCTCTCCCACCCCAAAGATGACCACTCTTCGGGTACTGCTGCACATAGCCGCTCACCGAGACTACGAGCTGCACTCTCTTGACTTCAGCACTGCTTTCTTGCAGGGCAGCCTGCACGAGGAGATCTGGCTGCGCCGCCCACCTGGCTTCACTGGGACTTTTCCTCCTGGCACCCAGTGGAGCCTCCGGCGGCCAGTCTACGGTCTCCGTCAGGCGCCTCGTGAGTGGCACGACACACTGAGGACGACACTTGCGGCTCTTGGGTTTGCTCCTTCTACTGCCGACCCGTCGCTGTTTCTGCGCACCGACACTTCTTTGCCGCCGTTCTACATCCTCGTGTACGTCGACGACTTGGTCTTTGCTACAGCTGACACTGCTGGACTTGCCTACGTGAAGTCCGAGCTGCAGAAGAGACACACGTGCACAGATCTGGGTGAACTGCGCAGCTACCTTGGCTTGTTGATCACCCGGGACAGAGCACAGCGCACCATTACCCTGACTCAGTCACACATGGTGCAGCAGGTCCTTCAGCGCTTCGGCTTCACGTACTCCTCGCCTCAGGCCACTCCTCTGCCTACACGCCACTCGCTCTCAGCTCTGCCTTCGGATGAGTTCGTGGCCCGTACCCAGAGCTTGTCGGCTGCCTCATGTACCTGATGACCTGCACTCGACCTGACCTTGCATACCCTCTTAGCATTCTTGCACGCTATGTTGCTCCTGGGAGACACAGACCAGAGCACATGGCTGCAGCGAAGAGGGTGTTGCGCTACTTGTGCAGTACGTCGGGCATGGGGCTTGTGCTTGGAGGGCAGAGTCCAGTGGTCCTCACTGGTCACGCAGACGCTTCTTGGGCCGACGACCAGGCTACGCAGCGGTCGTCACAGGGTTACACCTTCAGCCTTGGTTCCGGCTCTGTTTCGTGGCGGTCTACCCGCTCGTCTTCTGTTCTCGGCTCGAGCTGTGAGGCTGAGATCTACGCAGGGGCCATGGCTGCACAGGAGCTACGCTGGCTCACCTACCTGCTGACCGACCTGGGAGAGCCGCCTCGTTCTCCTCCAGTGCTGTACGTAGACAACAAGGCCATGCTGGCCTTGTGTCGGGAGCACAGACTGGAGCACAGAACGAAGCACATCGCTCTCCGCTACTTCCTTGCTCGTGAGCTGCAGCAGCGTGGTCAGCTGCGCCTTGCTTACGTGGCCTCTGAGGCCAACACTGCTGATATCTTCACCAAGGCACTCGCGCCTTGTGATCATCAGCGCTTCTGTACTCTGTTAGGTCTTGTGCCTACCTTGCCTCACTTGCTTACTTCATTACCTTGCTTGTACTTTTACATATATATACCTGCCCTTGCTTGTTTAGCGTTATATATATGTACCCTTGCATGTGAACTGGCCTTCTGGCCTTGAACTTGTGCTCAGACTGTGTGGTGACGTTGTGATCCACCCTGAGCTTGCCTTGCCTTGCTTTGCTTGACTGGTCTTGTGACCTCTTGTTCTCCCCCACTTTGCCTATAGGGGTGTGTCAAACATTATGCATGTTGTAGCTTTGTAGGCTACAGTGGGTTTAGCCTTAGAGGGTACAGAACTCTAGGGTTTCATATTTGTACTCTCATTCCTGTTAGTCATCCCCATTCTCGTTCTAAGTTTCACAGCATCCTTCTCCTCTAGTTCTGTACGTAGACAACAAGGCTGCTATTACCTTGTGTCAGGAGCACAGACTAGAGCACAGAACGAAGCACATCGCTCTGCGTTACTTCCTGGCTCGAGAGTTGCAGCAGCGTGGTCAGCTTCGTGTTGCTTACGTGGCCACTCGGGCCAACACTGCTAATGTGTTCACCAAGGCACTTCCGCCTGTTGACCATCAGCGGTTCTGTACTGCGCTAGGCTTGGTGCCTACGTTTCCTCACTTGCTTACCTCTTGGCTTTGCTTGTACTATGATCTATATTGTATACCTACATACCTATAGTTGTTAGGTAGTGATCACTGTACTGTCATTGTTGCATATATACCTCTGTATGTGAACTGGCCTTGTGGCCTTTGCTTGTGCTCAGAGTGTGTGGTGACGTTGTGATCCACCCTGGGCTTGCTTTGCTTTTCTTGACTGGTCTTGTGACCCCTTGCTCTCCCCCACTTTGCCTATGGGGGTGTGTCAAACTGTAATGCTTGTTGTTGGTTGTAGGCTGTAGTGGGGTAGCTTACATGGGGTACAACACATTCTAGGGTTTCTATTTGTATCCCAAGTCTTGCCAGTTCAACCATTCTTGCCAGTTATTCTGACACATGGTGGGTCCTCGCAGTAACGACACGGTCAATAGAGTTTTGGTCGCGTTCGACGTGACGTAGTTGGCATCAGGGCCACAGAAGTCTGTAAAAAAAGTCTGATTTAGGTGAAAAATGACTTAGGTTTCAGCCTTTTTTCATAACCGAGACTTATTTTCCAGCCCACATGCCATCGACTACGTTCGCCCCCGGAGGGGGAACTGTCAAACATATATGCTGCATATTGTCTAGGCTGTAGTGGGGTAGCCCATATGGGGTACAGCCCAATTAGGGTTTACTACTTGTACTCCTGCATGCTGTTAGTTCATCATTCCTGCTGCTAGATTCTAACATGGTTTCAGAGCACTAAGGTCCGTAGGACCGTTTTTTTTTTCGGGCCCACCTACCGCTGCGGTTACCGCGCTACCCCACGTACCTGCCTGCCTTGCCTTGCCTTGTGACGTGCTGCACTACGCGCGCCGTCCAGCAGCCCTAGCGCTGCCTCCTGCTGCCCTAGGCCAGCGCGCTGCCCCTAGAGGCCCGTAAGGCCCGCGCGCCGCCCCTACACGCCCTTCAGGCCTGCGCAGCCCGCACCGAGCCGCGCGCAGCCCGCACCGAGAACGCGCAGCCCGCACAGAGCCGCGCGCAGCCCGCAGCAGCAGCGCGCAGCCCGCACAGAGCCGCGCGCAGCCCGCACCGAGCCGCGCGCAGCCCGCTGCAGCCGCGCGCAGCCCGCACCGAGCCGCGCGCAGCCCGCTGCTGCCGCGCGCAGCCCGCGCCGAGCCCACGCAGCCCGCGTCGAGCCGCGCGCGGCCTGCTACGGCCTCGCGAGGCCCGCGCGCGGCCCGCAGCAGCCCGCGCCGAGCCGCGCGCGGCCTGCTACTGCCTCGCGCGGCCCGCGCGCGGCCCGCAGCAGCTCACGCCGAGCCGCGCGCGGCTCGCTACTGCCTAGCGCGGCCGCGCGCGGCCTGCAGCAGCCCAGCGCGCTGTCAGCGCAGCCCGCGCCGAGCCGCGCGCGTCCCTCTGCCTCGGCCCCGACCTGCCGCTGTTAAGGCCCCGCCCTGTAGCTGCCACGGCCCCGACCTGCCGCTGAAGCGGCCCCGCCCTGCAGCTGCTTCGGCCCTACTCTGCACCGGGTGTTGCGGCCCCGACGTCGCCGCTGTCGAGCGCCTGCTTTTCCAGCCTTTGGTGAGCGCCTGCCTGCCTGCCTGCCGGCCTGCCTGCCTGCCTGCCTGCCGGCCTGCCTGCCTGCCGGCCTGCCTGCCTGCCTGCCTGCCTGCCTGCCTGCCTGCCTGCCTGCCTGCCTGCCGGCCTGCCTGTCTGCCTGCCTGCCTGCCGGCCTGCCTGCCTGCCTGCATGCCTGCCTGCCTGCCTGCCTGCCTGTCTGTCTGCCTGCCTGCCTGCCTGCCTGCCGGCCTGCCTGTCTACCTGCTGGCCTGCCTGCCTGTCGGCCTGCCGCGCCTGCCCTGCCCGCGCTACTGCTGCTGCTACTGCTACTGGCAGGTGGCCAGATGCAGCTCCAGCGACGTTCACGTGAGTCTCTCACGCCCCAGCAGCTTAGTGAGTGGTATACTAGCTGGGGTTGTCGCGGTAGCCGTCGTAGCTGTCCCCCTGGAGCTGGTCAGTTGGGAGCATCCGGCAGTGGCCGGCTGCAGCTGCAGCGGCATCCACGCGAGACACTTACGTCCCGGCAGCTCCACGAGTGGTACGCTCAGTGTAGCAGGTCTACGCGTACAGTTCGCTGCCAGTACGTCATTCGCACAGGTGATAGGACTGGTCAGCCTTGCGGGACGCTTGGTCACACACAGTCCCGCTGCTTCACCCGTCTGAGCGACGACTGGCGTACAGTGTTTGGCGACGAGGCTGAGCTCCCCGACT